ACCATCCCGCTCTTTTTTCTTTTCTTTTTTTCTTTTTTATAGCCCTCTTTTTGTTTTTGTTTTTCGCTGCCTCGGCATCCGCGTCTCGTGCTTGGCGCGGCGCCTCCCTCCCCCGCCGCCGCCCCCCAGTGCGAGGCTTCACCGCACGCGTTCCCCGCACGTTCAGCCGCCGCTCCCCGGAGGACGTCACCCGCGCCTCCCCCTTCCACCACCACGCACCCGGCGGCAGAAGTGCGGGGAACAAACCACGGCCGGCAGCAGCGGCAGAACGGCAGACGAAAAAAAACACGCAAGTGAACGCGCGCACACACACACACAAAAAGAAAGAAAGAAAACAACAACAACGAAAAAGACTTTTAAAAATTTGTTTTGGCTTCCTGTTGTTTTGTTTGCTTGCAACGCCGCCGCTGCCTCGCACGACTCGTGTCGCTGGGGGGGTGGGGGGCGTCAAGTGCGTGCCGTGCCCGGGAGGGGCGGGGGCGCAATCAAAACAAAAGCAACGCGACCTGCCAGGGCGAGTGCCGCAGCACGCGGCGGGGGGCGGAGCACAAATGACGGCGGCGGCGGCCGGCAAAGAGGCGTGGAGAACTCCCCCCCCCCCCCCCGACACACGCACGCGCGAGGGGGCAAAAGGGGGTTCCCACGAAAGCGGTGGCGTCGGGGCAGTAAAAAAAAAAAAAAAGGGCGGGGCGATGCCAGCGGCGACCACCAGCAGAAAAAAACAACAAAAAAAAAACAAAAAAAAGAAGGAAAACGCAACCAAAACAACCGAACCAAAAACAACAAAAAAAAACAACAACGAAAACAAATGACTTCGCACGCAGTGACACTCGTCAGTGGACCCAAACAACAAGAGAAGAATAAGAACAGAGCCGCAATAAAAAACATAAAGTAGCAATGAGATAACCAGCACACAAAGACAAAGAAGAAAGGGCAAAAAGAAGAGGCAAACAGCAACTATCATGGGCTTTATTTCCCTCCCATCCCATCTCCACAGACAAACAAACCATCCGGCCTCTTCCCATGCCTCCAAGCCTGGGCACACACACACACCCACACCCACAGAAACACAAACAAAAACATTTGACGTACTTCCCTCCCGTGGCGTGCCGCTTATTCCCTCGCGGCCCCTCTCTATTCCGTCCCGACCCCGATCCACCGGCGCCTTCTTTCACTCAACCTGCCGCGCAGCGAGGCGTGCGCACGGACGCAGTGATGTGCACCTATGCGGACGTTTGACATGTTTTGCAGTGTGCGAGTGTTCACATTAGTGTTTCTCTCGTTCCCAGAAAGATCTTTTTTTTCTTCTTCTCCCTTTTCGCTCTTACTCCCCCCCCCATGCTCCTCCTCCCCACGCTCCCTTGTTACTCCTTCTTTTGCTTCTTACACAAAAACAAAAAAAAAACCATCTCCCGTTGGTCGTCATGCCCGCCGCCGCAGCAGCAGCAGCATTCGTGGGCGCCGACGACCCCCGCCTGCTCACTCAGAGGCGCACGGAAGGGCCACGGCCGACCGACGCAAACGCCAGCACCAAATAAGCGCAAATAAAAAAAAGAAGAAAGAGAAATTTATACGCAACTCCATCGCTTGAGACGTGCGAGGGGCTGGGGGTCAAAACCAACGCACGAGCAGGGCGTGGAGGAGACAGAAGACACGCGGCAACACACACAAGAGAAACGACGGAAGCAGAAGCGCTTGGCTTAGCCCCCAAACAAATTAGGAACGAAATGAAGAAAGAAGAAGAAGCGGGCGTGCGTGCGTCTAGGAATGAACATGCGCGTAGGTGCGATCTTGTTTTGTGCCTGCTGTGAAACAACAAGAAACAAAAGGGAGTGATCAAAAGAGAGCGAAAAAAGAGAGGAAAAAATGGAGAAACATGGGGGGCCAACAATCGCCCCCGCTCGCACCGTTTTTTCCCCCTCTGCCAAAAGCAACAACAGCACGTTGGTGTGTACGTTCAGCCAAAGTGTGTGTGCTGCTGCCTTGTCTTTTTTTTTGGATGTCTCCTTGTTTTGCGCTCTCCCTTAGGCGAGACGCACCGCCCCCTTCTATTCTAATTTCTCTTTCCTTCGCCATTGTAGGCAGATGGATGAATGGACATATACACACACATATATATATATGTATATATCTTTGTACCCTTTCCTTGTGAGCGTCCCGTTTGTCGCGGCTTTGGGGCCCTGCTGCAGACGCACCAGTCACAAGTCATCCACCCTGCCTCACCGTTGCACGTAAAGAGAGAGAAATATATATATATATATATATATGATATATCTGCCTACCTGTCTGCATGACGTTTGCAGGTGTGCATTTGTGTGCCTTGGCGTACCCCCACCCACCCCCCGCCTCCGTTCCTCGTTGCTCTAATCACTTCATCCTGGGCGACTTGTTTCCGCTTCCCGCTTTTTTTGCTCACCTGCTTGCCGCACCTTTTTTTTTACTGCAAGTGGTGCGGAGGCGCCACGACTCTGCTTCCCTTTTGCCTTTTTTTTCTTTTGGCTTTTAACGCAGGCCTTTTTTGTCACTTACTTGTTTATGTTCTATCGCTGCTCCTTGTCCCAATAACTTTTCTCCTCTCCGCCACCGCAGAACTCTTTATTTCCCGCGCCTTCATCTTCCCTTTCCCTTCTTTTTGAGTGTGCCTTATTTCATTCCGGCGTTGCCGCTCCTCCCCTCCGGCGCCGGCACGCCGCCGGGGCCCCGAGGGGCGGCCGCCGCGGCAGGCAAAACAGGCCCCTTCACAGCTTTCCTCCGGCTTCACTGATGCATGTGCCGCGGTGGGTTGCCCCACACCTCCTGACCGGCACACAGCGGGAGCGGGCTCGGCATGTTTCCACCATTACCGCCGCCACCCACTGCATTGCCAGCGTAATAGGTGCGGTAGTGATTCGGTGTAGAATGTGGCGTGTAACGGTGCCCACCGTATGGGGAACTATAGCCATGGTACGCATAGCCCGCGGTATTGCTGGCGCCCCCATGGTATACACCGCCGCCGCCGCCGCCGGCACCGCCTTCCCAATACGCGGCGTTGCCGGGCGCCGTTGGGGGAGCTGTGCTGCCCCCGCCAGCTGCTGCCGCTGTCGTCGTCGGAGCCAGGCCACTGGCCAAATTATGGTACGCATAGCCACTATTGCGCTGACCAGCAAGCGGGTTGGGTGAGCTTTGGCGAGAGGAATCGCCCCAGTGTGGAGAATAGATGGTTGGCTGGGCCAACACAGACAGTAGCGGTGGCTGATAACTGCTTGTGGAGTGGGTGCTGCCGTGATACGGCGTGTGCGGCGTGTTCGTAATGGACCAACTGCCACCGCCGCAGCCGCTTAATGGACGGGCGTGCGGAGGCACACCAGAAGACGCAGATGTGCCCCCTGCAGCAGCGGCGGCGGCAGAAACAGCACCGCCACCTCCCTGTTGATGCCCCGTTGGTCGTTGGTATGAACCCATTGAAATGGACACATCTCGTCTGATGTGGCGAAGCATGACTGGAGTGCACATGGCGGCCCCGCCCTGTGCATTCATGGGCGTAAAGGAAAGCATAGCCGTTTGCTGGCATTCGGGCGTGCTCGGTGGCAACTCCAATCCTAGACCACGCAGCGTGGGAATGCCTATGCGAACATACTGTGGCTCCAGATTGTTGGGATCGTAGTCGTCCCAAAGGTGCAGTTGACGTCGCCAAATATTTAGGTATCGATCAAATGTACGCTTGCTACAGTCATACTCGGGACGTGGGGTCATGGGGTGCATCGGGTTACGGAACTCGCGATCGCAGCGGGATGGAACGGCTCGAAGGTAGTTGCTGTACCCCACTGTCTCCTTGCCGTACTGCACCTGGCGCTGTCGCTGCTTCAGACGCCGCGACCGCTCTGCCGTCTCTCCCAAGTTTATTTCTGACTGCGGAAGTTCCACGCCAGTGTAATTTAGGTGCTTTTCCTCCGCCTCAACAATCCGGAAGGCGGCGGGGCATCGATATACCTCGGCTCCTGTAAGAGCTCCATCGCCGCCGGATCGCCCTGTTACGTCCATACTCACCATACGCTTGTTATTTAACCCCGCACGCGCCGTGACCGTACGCGTCGATGCGGCCACAGTTACCGGGGCTGCGGCCACGCCTGATCCATTGCTGTTTAATGTGCCCTGCAGCGCCGCTGACGCCACCGCGGTCCCACTCAACCCACCAATTGGACCCACCTGGAGAACACTGCCGTCAAGGGCGGCAATCGGGGACCGCTGCGAGGAGCGACGGTGAAGCGACGAGGACACGCCTGCCGCGCTGGGGCCAGACGTCCGGGCAATGCCTATTTTGTACGCCGCCTTGACTGTGACGAGGTTGTCCATGTTCACCCCCGCATACCCCTCGAGCTCAGACTCCACCCCAAACATGGAGAGCGGCACCCCACTGTAGGGCTGGTGCGTCTTCACAATCGGCGACCGCATCTGCTGCGCCGCTGCCGCCGCTAACGCCGGCACATCGTGTGTCGGGGTGGTCGACGTGGCGAAATCCGCCTTGGGCGAGCCACGTCCGACTGATCCCCCCCACACGGGGGCCGCGCCAGCGTTGCCAACCCCACCGCCGACCATGTTGTTCCTCGAGCCCGGCCGTCTACTATTTTCTCCCGCCGGCAGAGGCAGCATCTTTGCGTACGCGGGGCACCTCTTGTTGCTGATTCCTCACAGCCGCCTGCCTTCTTTTTTTTGTTTTTGTTTTTGTTTTGTTTTTTCTTTTTGCGTGGTGGGTGGGTAGTTTGGTTGGGGGGCTTCGCCTCTCCTTGACCTCGCGGGGTTGGCTCCCGTTGCTGCTGTGGCGGTTTTACGCTTCCCGCCGCGGTGCCCCCCGCTCCCCGTTCCTTCGCACACCCTCCTCCTGACAAGGCTCAGACGGTCAGAGCAGCAAAGACGGCAGGCGATTCCTCACGCTGCTTCTCCTTCCCTCACTCGCTTTGGTAGCCGCACTTTTCCTCCTCCTAGCTGGCCCGCAGCAGCCGCACACACGCACACGGCGAAGGCGGGTGGTACCACCGGCGAGGGTCGAGGCGGGGGGGGGGAACAAAAAAAGACCGGGTGGGGCACACAAAGAGGGTGAGGTGAGACGCAGGTGCACAGCTCCACGCCTGGCCCCACGGCAATGGGTGCATGAAGCGGAGAGCACAGAAGCAGAAGAAGCAAACAAAAGCACAACAAAACGGAGCTGGCAGCATCACACACACACACACACATACATGCGCACAGACGCAGGCAAAAAGGGAAAAGAGCCACGGCCGGGTTACGGTAGAGAGCCCACGGCAAGTTCCACTAGACGCAGTGCACGCAAGAACGCCCCACATTGATCCATCTCTCTCTCTCTCTCTCTCTCCTTCCTCCCCCCTTCTCTCCATACATATCTACGGGACAGACACATCCTACAGAAGCTGGCACGAGAACAGAGACAACACACAACTAAGACAGGCACACACCCACGCCCACACTTGCTTAGAAAGAAAGAGATAATAAAGCACGGTGGGTACGCCACAATCACGACGACCAATTTATTTATTTATTATCATTCGGTTACGCGGGTGACGAGAATGAGCAATGCCGTTTCATCAATGCCACGCAACGCTCTATAACCGTCCTCATCATTGGCACATATGTTACAGCGTGCCACCTAACTCACACTCTTCTCTGCTGGTCTCTCCCCTCGTCACAGCACGGTAGTTCCACCTTTCTCACTCTCAGCCAGCCGCTGCTGGCTTCACGCGGCGGAGTGGGCCGAGCAGCGACAAGCAAGGCACAATCAAAATGCAACGGGAAAAAAGACAGGAATGAAAGAGAGCGAGGACACGTCTCTGAGTACTTGTGTCAGTGAGTGAGTGAGTGAAAGAGCGGGGAGCCGACAAGATAATAATAATTAGAAAAAAAAAACATGGGGAAAAAGTGTCAATAAAACACACAAGCAAGAAGGAAAGCATATATATTTACGGAGCCCTCCTCCCCCCCTCTCAGCGAAGCTGGTCTTCCAGGTACTGATACTCAAATGTAAAGTCCTCTTTTTCTTCTATGCGCCATGTATCCTCGTAGTTGAAAAATATGAAAGACCCACGCTCACTCCCTTCCTGGGACTCCTTCATATGACCGTTGCGTTTGAACCATGTGTTGAGCTGTGTGTGATAGCGAAACGACTGCGCCTTGATCTGCTTTGCCGCGTAGTACTGCTGATACGTATTTTGATGATAGTAAAAGATAAAAAAGAGGGTTTCCAATTCAAACTCCCGGTAGATGTCAGGTGAAGCCAACGCTGGAAGCACCTGCTGTGGGTAGTACAAAGGGCAGTCCGTCGGATTTGACGGCTCAAACGGACGCTGTCGGTCAATGTCCTGCGTGTGCGGCAGGTTCCCTAGGGACATGTCAATCAGTTGATGCATCATGGCCTTGTCATAGCTGACAGTGGCATAGCTTGAGGGGTAAGACGCAGCACTGCCTTGTTGTTTGTGTTCCGCCGTTCTTTGTGGCTGTGAAGAAGCAGGAAGTTGCTGCGCCGCTACTGCCGGGGTCGCACTGGAAGCAGCAGGCGCGGCCGCAGCTTGCTGTTCCCCTGCTTGTGACTTGATCGTAGGCGGAGGCACGGCGGCGGGCGCAGCTGCAGCCGCTGCATTTGCTGTTTTTATTGCTTCTGACGCTGTTGCTGCCGCGGTTGCGGGGGCAAGTGAGGTATTAGGCGCGGCCTGTGGCACGGTTAGGCTTGCCGGGCGGCCTTTTTCCCAGTCACCCATGCGCGAGAAGGTGCTTGTTGCCTTCGCCATGTCTGCTAAAGAGCCAGGGGCCTTGATGTCCATTGCGTCGTCGCCGAACGTGTCTGTGTTTGCCTTGTCCATCTCATCATCCAGCAACCCGGCGTTATCCTCCCACGCCTCCGGCGGGGAGTCCCGACTCGTGGCTGGCTTTGTGGCTTGCAGGGGTGAGGTGCCCCCCGCCCTGGGCGCGGTCTGTGAGGCGCGGGGTGGGCGCTTCGCCGCCTCCGCCTTGACGGCTGGGGCCGCCGCCGCCGCCGCCGCCGCCGCCGCCTTCTTCACCGCACTCTGCGACGACGCCCGCGTGTTGGTGGGGCTCGACGTCACGGACTTCTTCCGGGCTTCGTGCCCGGCGGCGGCGGCGGCGGCGTCGTCGCCCGCCTCCGCGCCACTGCCACGCGGCTTCTCGTAGCGGTTTTCCTCCAGGTCGAACCCGCTGTAGAGGGCCTCGTCGTCGTCGTCGTCGTCGTCATCGTCATCGTCGCTATTGGCTTCATTCTTCAGGAACCGCTGCACCCGCTCCTCAATTTCGGCCACCTCCTCCAGGTCGGCATCCCCGTTCGTCACCGCCTTGAGGAGCTGTTCAAGCTTTCCTAGGTGAAACTGAAGCTTCTGCAGCCGCACAGCCTCGGCGGAGACCGCGTTCTTGCCACGCCCGTGGTGCCCACGCGTATTGCGCTCCACGTCGTACTCGATAATCTCAATCTGCTTTCGTGCGTCGTCCATGCAGGCCTTCAGCCAGGCCTCGGTGTGCGCCTGCGGGGTTTTGTGCGGGGAGGCGGACAGGAGTGCCTCCTTGCTGTACGCCTTCGTCTTGGTCTCCCGCTCACACGACTTGAAGACTTCCATCTTCTCCTCGATGTTCCTTTGGTACGACTCCAGCGCCTTCGTGTCCTTCACCTCCGGGGTGGCGATCATCGCCTTGATGGAGTCGCGAAAGCGCTGCAGCTTCTTGATCTCCTTCTTGAGCTCGCCCTCAAGTCGCGCCTTCGACTGCGGGGTGTCGGCCTTGAGGAACTTGGTGTAGTGCACCTCGTAGCTGTCGATGCCGTCCTGCGTGCGCCGCAGCAGACGATCAACTTCCTGCTGCACCTTTTTACTGTTCGCCATTCTCTTTCCTACCTCTCTGCCTCTTTTTGCGTTGCCTGGTGGTTCGCTTTGTGCTGTGCCTGCGTGGTCTCTCTGTTGGCTGCTTTAGCAGAAGGACAAATTCTTCCGCGCACCTGTTGTTGTTGTTGTTGTTGTTGTTGTTTTTGCTGTTCTTTCTTGTTTTCACTGTTTCCCTTCCCGCTTGCTGCTGCTTCCGTGGCGGTCGCTTCCTCCGTTGCCGCCGACGCGCGTCTCCGGTAACGGCGTGGGGGTGCGCGTGTGTGGATGCAGGTGGCAACGCGTGTGGCCCGGGGGAAAATTTATCCTTCTACTTTAAGTAAACAAATACTTCCGTCGTACGCTTGTCGTTGCTTGTTCCTTCGTGGGGGTAAAGTTGCTTCCGCGCATGTGTGGGCGTAAAATGCGCAGGAAGCCGATCAGACAGGCAGAGGAAGACGAAGGAGGGAAGACAAGTAGGACATGTATGCGACACGGCACATGTACGCCCCTCAAAGCAGTCCCCCCGCCCTCGCCCAGCAGGCAATGGCTCAGACGGCGGGTGAGCTGCGCACTAAAGGAGGCGGCAGACATAAAAATGTGTGTATGCATGGTGCGGGTGGAGCGTGCGGGCGCGCATGTGCGAGGCAGGCAGCGAGGGGCGCGGCCAGCGCCGCCCGCCCTCCTTCCCTCAGCTCCGTCGGGTGTCAACCTCCTCGCTCGTTCCTCCTCGCCCCCACAGTCAGAGAGACACACACACACACACAGAGAGAGAGAGAGAGATGGCGGGGGGATTCTTCTCGTCAGCCCCAATTCTTTATCGTCCCATCCCACGCCGAGGTGACGACACGCGACGGCTCCGTTGGGTGCCACAGGTGGGAGGCCAGCGTTTGCGTGTGTGCGGGAAAGGAGCGCACGAGCTCCGACGTGGCCCACGACCATATGAAGAGTTTGCCGTGGATGTCGCCACTCGACAGGAATCGGCCGTCCGGGCTGAATGCGAGCTGGCACCGCGTTCCAGAGATGGTGTGGCCGCTGAACACGCGGTGCCGCAGCAGCTTCACCTGCCCCCCGCCGCTGTCGGCGAAGACGAGTGCCTGGTTGTTCAGCGACTGGGCCACCAGCATGTCCTCCGTCGGGTGGTGGACGACGTGCGTGATGGCGTGCATGGAGACATCCGCGATTTGTTTGATTTGCACCGGGACGCGGAAGTCCCACGTGCGCAGCGTCTTGTCCTCCGCCGTCGTCAGCAGCTTCCTCCCCCCGCTCAGCAGGCTGAGGTTGAAGATGGTGCCCATGTGCCCCGTGTACTCCCGCTGGTACTTCTGGGCGCTCGCCCGCACGTCGTAGAGCACAATCTTGCGGTCCAGCGCGGCGAGGATGAGGGCGGCGGTGTCGAACGGGTGATGCAGGTGCTGCACACACGGCAGCCCCTCCGCGTTTGTCAGGACGTCGCGGCAGACCCCGCGCTCGACGTCCCAGAGCGCCACGGTGCCATCCACGGAGCCGGTGGACATGACGGCGGCGTCCGGCGTGACCTCCAGCGACTTCACCGGCTGGGTGTGGGCCACAAACGTCGCGATGCACCTCCGCGACGCCATCGCCTCGTAGAGGCGCACCTCGCCCTTTAGGTCCGCCGCGAACAACAAATGCCCCACAGGGGGCACCCACTGCAGCTGCTGAATACCGGCGGCGTGCTTGCCCCAGCCTCCCTTCATCTGCCGCGGCGGCCGGCACTCCTGCTCACGCGACTCCAGCGCGGCGAGCAGCGAGGGCGGCGGCTGCAGAAACGATCGCCCCAAGTAGTCGGTGCGCACAAACGACGGGTCAAACTGCACGTGCGGGGTGAAGGAGGAGGACAGGGACGACGCCTTCTCGTCCTTGTCCTTGCTCTGCCGCTCCGCAGCGGTGGCTTGGCGCGAGTCGGGAGGAAGACTTCGCGGCCGCTTCTGCGCCGCCCTGTCCTCTTCCCGTTGCTGCTGCTTTTCCGGCGTCGCTGCGGCCCCGTCATCCACCGCCAGCTGCGCCGGAGGGGGCGGGTACGCGCGCATAACGTCCTCCGGTGTGGCCGCCAGGTGCAGTAGGAGGCCGCTGCCGTCGCCGCCGTCGTCGTCGTCAGCTTCCGGCAGGGGCGGGGGCGTGTTGCCCGCTGCCACGTCTCCCAGCTGACGCGCCACACGCTGCAGGACATCGGCCCTGACGGGTGGGGCGGGGTCGTAGTACATGGCCTGTTTGCATGTGTGCAAGAAGCAGAGACAACACATGAGAAGCAAAGCGGAAAGTGTAAACGCACGGAGGCAAAGGGACAGTGGACGAGGTAGACCGTCCCGGCATATTCCCCAGAGTCAAGCGCATTGTGCGCCTCTCCCCCTTCACGCTCGCGCCCCTTTTCCTTCTCTGTCTTTGTTTTTCCTCCCTCTTTCTCTGTGCGGTGGAGCGTGCACGTAGGTGGCCATGCGTGTATTACACAGAAGCGTGCCGTCAGAGGGGCGCACGCTCACAGACACACACACAAATGCTGCGACGCTCACATGCCGCGTGGGCCCCCCAGGGGAACCAACAACAACAACAACAACAACAACAATAAAATCAATGTGGAAACACGATAGAGACAAACTCAATTAGCTTTGCTCCGAGTCTGTCTCGCTGTTGCCTCTTCCCTGTTTCTTAAATTCCTTTTCCCCCATGTGCCCTTTTCGGCCTCTTCGTCCAGGTCCTGCCGTGACGCCGTCACGCTCCATCAGGCGTTGGGAGCGCGGTCCTGATGGAACCTGCTTCACAGCTTGATCTCCGTCTTCTTGTGCGTCTGCGAGCGGTCAATGAGGAAGTCGTACCAGTTCTCCTCCGGTTTCGTATCTAGCGGGCGAAGCAGCGGCAGAAGAACCTCGCGGCCCACGTGACAGTTCTCGCAGGTGTAGAGCAGCTGCTTGATGCCATCCTCGTCCTTGGTTGGCAGCTTCTGCACCTCCTTCGTCAGGGAGCAGGTGTAGTAGTGGCAGTCCATGCACTGCAGGCACCTGTTGCTCTGGTGCAGGTCTCGCGAGGTGAGCACCACCCGGCAACCGTCCTTGCAGTGTGGACACTTCCACACGCGGTAAAAGGCACAGCCATTGACGTGCTCCAGGTACTGCCCGTGCGTCATCACATCCTGCATCGTCTTGTCATCCCGCACGCGGGACATCAGACCGTGGCAGTTGGGGCAGAGCGTGTCCAGCAGCTGGTTCACCAGCGCCACGCCGCAGAAGAGAAAGAAGAGGGATCCCCACAGAAGGTAGGGAACTATGTAGAGGCCATACGAGAGGGTCTTGCCAGCGAAACGGACCTTGTTGCGGGTGGGCATGGCAAGTAGGCCGCGCTGCCACAATGGCCGCATTTCCTGAGCCTGTCGTGCAATGGCGTAGACGAGCTGCACCGTCGCGTAGCTTGGCTTCCCCTCCTGCACGAGCGGTTGAAATATTTCCCGCACCGCGGGCTCAAGAAACTGCTTGTCAAAGTACTCCTCAATGGCAGGGCTCGCGACGAGGTGCACGCTCGCCTCGTGCTGGGCAATAAGCAGCAGCAGCCCGTTCCCCGCGGGCTCGCCTATGCCCCAGTCGAACATGATGGAGTTGGCGAAGGCCTTCACGGTGGTGTAGCCGACGGTCGGCACCAGCACCACGTACATGTCGACCTCGCAGAGCGCCTGCATCTTGTCGATCGTCTGCTCAATCTCCATGCGGTGCTCCGAGGTCAAGAGGCCGCAGAGGTCCGACACCCGCTTCTTGGCGTACTTCGGCACCAGCTCCCAGGGCCGGTCGGTCTTGCGGTAGTGGATCTCGTCGAAGGTCTGGATCTTCTCAAAGGAGGCGACGATCTCCTTGTTGCTGCGCCGCCGGCCGGCCTTGATGTCCGCCGCCAGGTCGCGGCTCTGCCCGAGTTTGGCGAGCGAGGAGAGAAGCTCCACGCCGGCGCCGCGCCGCGCCACAAGCAGCGCGGACGCAACCAGCGGCGCGCCACGGGGGCGGCCCGCGAGGGACACAAGACCCGCACCGGCGCCACTAAAAGCACGAGGACGACTAACGCTGCACCGCGGGCGAAGAGTACATCGGGTGCAGCCGATACAGGCGCAGGCCTGTGGGGCGCTCGCGGCACCGGCACGGACGCCCAACCACGCCCGCCGCATAATTTCCCCCGCGAGAAGCGGAAGCTACAATGTATCCTTCAAACCCGGCACACAACCCCAATCATTGGCGACAAGGATGTAGCGGAGGAAAGAGAGAGAGAGAGAGAGAGCGAGGACGGTATATATATATTATAGGGAGGGGGAAGGCCAAGAAACGGGGTGCGGCACAAGAGGCAACAAGGAGCGATACGCCCTCTCAATCATCTCCCCCTTTCATTATTTTTTTTCCCCGCCTGGAAAAACGCACACGGCGCCTCATTACCGAATCGACCCTGCCGCAGGTGGGGGGAGGGGGAGTTTGGTCCGTCACGTCCACGTCATCCGCCGCCGCCGCCGCCGCCATAGTGCGGGAGCGCCAACTCTTCTGCGTGAGGCGACTGCCGCTCCATCGCCTGCACCTCAAGCTCCACGCGGCACAGCTCACGGTTGGTCCGGGCAACCACCTGCCGGTAGAGGCTCAGTACACGCTGCAGCCGGGACTGCAGGCGCCGTGCACGCTCCCCGTTGCGCCGACAAAGCGAATGCAGTTCGGCAGGATCCGCCGCCTCCGCCGTTGTCCTGGCATTGCCGTCACCATTATTCCCCTGCATGTCTTCGCTGTTCCCATCGCCGTTGTACGCAGTGGCGCGAAAAATGCTGCCGCACGCGTCCGCTATTCTCTCAAACTGCTGGTGCAGGCGCTCGTGTGTGTGTGAGGCCCGCTTCCGCAGCTCGCAGAAGTCCTCCTTGTGGCAACGGAGCTGTTGGTGCAGCCAGACGATCCGGCGAACCGCCTCCTCCTGCGCCGCCACTCCACCGCCGCCGCGGCTGTCATGTTTGGAGCCATCGGCAACTGTGCGGCGGCCGAGCTCCGCGTCCGCGCCGTAGCCGTCACGGCGCAGGTGTGAGGAGGCGGCGGCAGCACCCACGTCGACGAGAAGGAACTCCTGCCGCAGCAGCCGCATGGAGGCGTCTACGTTGCGCATCGTTTCCTGCAACTCCTTCCGCTCGCTCAGCTGCGCCCGCAGGGCGTCCACGCGCTGCCTCACCCGCAGCGGCGGCCACGAGAGGAGGGGGCAGGGCTGCAAGGAGACCTGCGGCTCCGCCGCCGCCGCCGCCGCATGCAACGCCTCCGCCTCGCCGTAAAGATGCCGCTGTTGAACGTACGCCTCCGCCTCCACAAGCAGCAGCGCCAGCCGCTGCGAGAGGCGATCCATCACGTCCCGGTAACACGCGGTGCCGGCGCTCAACATTTATCCCGCATGTATATACTCCCTTGCAAACGTCTCTCTCTCTCTCTGTGTGTGTGTGTGTGTGTGTGTGTGTGTGTGTGTGCGTGGTAGCCCCCACAAACCGCCACCCTCGCCCTCTACGCCTTGTACGCACGAGCAGCAGAGACCGCTCAGAGCGAAGTGAGGCGGCGGCGGCGGCGGCGGCAACAACAATGAAAGAGCAAAGGAACAACAACTTGCCATAGCCGTGCAGTTTTAATAATAGTAGTAATAGTATGTATTGCTTTCCACCGCTTAGTCTACTCCTTCGCGGAGGCGGCTACTCTCATTGAGTGTACACCCCTGCTGAGCCCAACCCACTTGCTCAGCCGAGAGAGACTTCTAAATAACTGACAGGAGGAGGGTGACGGCACTCGCCTCCCCCGACACACAGAGAGAGGCACAGTTATATATAGTTGTATATATATATATATGTCTACATGTGTAACAAAGCAAATCTAACACTCGCAATCGCCACACTTAAACGGCTTCCCATGCACTTTTAAATCCTTCACGCGAAAGCCTGACGCAGCCACACCACCAAACACGCAACGCACCTTGTCAATGGGAAGCAAACGAGCATTGCCGAGGACATTCATCGTTTGCACGCCACGCACGTCCTGTAGTTCGCCGCTGCCGACGGATAAAAAGTCCGCTCCGTGGGCATGCTTCACCTCTACTTCGTACGACGTCGGGCCTGTACCGTCCCCCGGGGTCCTCACCGTGAGGCAATCGAGACTAATAGGCTCGGGAAACTCAAAAACCACCACGTTGTCGCTAGCCTTGCATAGTGGGCTGCCACATTTCGCCCGCGCCGCATCCGTTTTTACACCCCCGCCAGACGCCCGCTTGCGCTCCCCGCCTTTTTTGCCCTGCCACCCCCATGGAGACGCTGACCGGGGGCGACCACGTCGTTGCCGCGGCGTCCCCTCTGCAGCGCGCGCCGTGGTCCTCGCGTGGCTGCAGCTGCTGCAGCTGCTGCTTCCGTTGCTGTCGTGGCGACGGCTTAAGGCGGCGCGAACCGCGGTTCGAAGTCTCGGACTGACCGCGCATGTAGAAGAGGGCGTGGGAGGCCTCGCCAACATCCGTGAGCACTCGCTCCCCTCCTCGCTGCCGCCGTTCACACGGCCCCTCCGCTGCCCAGCGGCAGTACCGCCGGTACAGCTATTTGTGCGACTGCTGCCGCCGCGGCCGCGCAGCTTCTGCGCCGAGCTTTGCCCCCGCATCATCGCCGCGCGTGTCGTGTGAAACGCACGCCCTGACGCACCATGAACTCCATTGGCAGTCGCAGCAGCTGCGGCAGTACTGGCGGCAACGGCACCTTGCGGCACGTACACCACCGCCTCACGGCTCGGAAATAGCACCTTTGGAAACGCCACGAAGCGCACCTGCTGTGTCGTGTCGGCAGCGAGGCTCAGCGGCCCTGTGTAGAGCGGCGAGGCGGGCGTCGGCGTCGTTCCGTCCAGCGTGTAGCGGTAGTCTACCGTTGGGTGCGGGGACGCGAGACAGACGGTGCTGTCGTGTGGGGAGTAGACAATCCGCGGCGTGTCCAGCACGGCCGGCACCTCGTACGTGACGGTGGGGGAAGCAAACTCACCGGCAGCAAAGGCGGCGAGGCAAATCACAGGCGGCGGCGGCAGACAGCTGCGCCACGACCCCCACGGGGCGTCCGGCGACGATGCCACGTCCAGTGCGATGGGGTGCACGTAGAGCGCCGAGGCCTTCGTGGGCTGCGTGCCGTCCAGCGTGTAGCGAACCTCGCGCTGCGCGAGGGTCGCGTCATCCGGGGCCGCCACCACCACGAAACGCCGCCAGACGGCGTCAAAGTAGCCACTGGGCGGCCGTAGCGTGCTCGGCACCGCAACCTCCAACACGGTGCTCGCGTAGGCGCAGCGGGCCATGCCGCAGATGCGGAGCACAGTTCCGGGCCGTTTGCGGTACGGCCGCAGATCAACGACACCGTCGTGCGGAACCCGCACGGGTGACGTGTGCCGGCGCGGATCTGCTCCGTCAACTGCCATGAAATACGTGATGCCTGGCGTCGCGTGCAGTCGGAGCTGCATCGCCTGCAAATCCATCGTTCCCTCCGGCCTTGGAACCTTCAAGTGGCATCGCAACATCTGCTGCTTCGCCGCGGCAAGGAACGACACGGCCGCCGCCCCCGCCTCCGCCGCGAGGGAGCGCTGGAGGGCGTGTGCCACCTGCACGCACTGCGTCACGAGGGAGCGGGCGTGGTGGAGGTTGTCTGAGTGAATCTCCACATACTTGCGCGCCCCCAGCGCCTGCGCCAGCTGTACCGCCTCGGCGTGCGCGACGGGGCGGGCGTGTCCCTCCGCGGGCAACTCCCCTGCCTCCACGACGAGCCCCACGACGACGACAGGCGTGGCGGGCCACACGGCGGCGTGGCGGGTGTCGGCGAGGTCCTGCGCGAGCAGCGCAAAGGCCCGCCCCACCTCCTCCCGCCCCCACCGCCGCCGCAGGGCGTCAAAGGAGGCGCGCGCGCTCACGCTGAAGCACAGCAGAACGACGTCGCTGGCGAGGCACAACTCGCCGCGGAGGGAGGCGGTCACGTCCGCCACGCCCGGCACGAGCAGCTCCATCCGCGGAGAGGCAGCGCTACTGCCGCCGCCGCCGTCGTCGTCAGCGGCGCCGAGGCCGAGCAGCAGCGGCTCGTGGCGGGAAACGCCCCCACCGCCGCGCAGCAGCAGAGCCGCCAGCCCCAGTTTGGCGTCCGTCTCGTCGCCGAGGAGCAGCAGACGCAGTGAGTGGCATGCGGGCCCGGAGTCGTCGCCCGCGCCGGCGTCGGTGCACGCCGGACGTTCCCTGCCGGCGAGGTACGCGCGACGCTGCCGGTGCAGGTGCAGCGCAATCACGTCCGCGGGCGAGAGGTGCATCGCAGCCCCGTCCTGCCGCACAAAGCGGTCGAGCTCCGCGAGCGTCATGTCGCTCAGGTGGTGAAGCGCCATGGCCGCCGCCGCGACGCCGCCCTGCTCGTCTACGCCGCACAAAACCAAAGCGGTGCGGGAAGAACAAAAAAAAGCAAAACAGCAATGAGGGCAACCACGCACACATAACACAATTCCAACGCCGCGTAACACAACAAGGGGAAAACGCAAACGAAAAACACGCACTCAACAAGAGAGAGAGAGAAAAAAAAAAGAGAGAGAGACCACAGAGACATATATATATATATATTGCCTTCGCCACTTCCTCCGCCGTCCGGCGCCATTCACCGCCGCCTTCGGCGCTTTCGCTGGGTCGTTGCTGCTTATCCGTGTCCCCGCATGCCGCGTGCAAGGGGGGGGTCAGTACTCAAACGCGTCCTCCGCCTCGGAGGCGTCAAACGAGAGTGCGTACGCGGTGGCTCCCAGCAGCGCCTCGGAGACTAAAGAGAGCAGAAACGCCCCGAAGCTGATGGCGCCGACGTGGTACAACACACACCCCATCGCTGGCCCGCTCACGACGAGGGCGCCGCCGAGGAAGAGACCGAGGCCGTCCAACAGGGCCTCCTCGGAGACACTCTGCTGTCGTCGGCCACACAGCAGAAACGGCAGCGGGGCGACAAGGGAAAGCATGAGCGGCAGCAGCGGCCACGCGTTGCTGTCGACGACCACCGTGCACGCGAGGATGGCGAAAAGAAACGCCACCACCAGTAGGCAGGCGGCAAGCACCAACACCCGCAGCGACGCCATTTCCCTGCTAATGCAAATCAACTCAAACGCTCAAAGTGTGCCTCTCTCTCTGTGTGTGTGTGTGTGGGCGGTTTCTTTATGTTTCGTTCCCTCCCTCCCCCCTTTCCCGCCTCTGCCGCTTTCCCTTTGCAGTGCACAAAAGCTTTTGTTGGGGCGCGTCCACTGCACTGTCTAACGGTGCAATGACCGCACTCCGGGAGGTGCTCACTGATGCGGTGCGGCAACAAACAAATGTCAAAACAAGGGGGAACAAAAAAAAATAAACAAACGAACCGATGCCGCAAAAAACATCCGGCGGCAGGGCCATCGGCCCTGCCACATCGCGGACGACGCGCGAGAGTCGCGGATTGATAATAGCGGCAAGGAACGTGACGTACAGCGGCGCATGAGAAATGCGACCCGCATCGACGCAACGCGGGGGGAGAAGCAAAAAAAAAAAAAGTGGCAGAAAATAGACGCAAAACATCAATTACCCGACGTCGTCTCGAAAGCGCCGCTCGAGGTGTTTGCGGAAGAACGCCGGGTTCAGCGGTTCCCCCGTCGCCTGGGTGAGAAGCTCCTCGGTTGTGAAGGTGGAGCCGTGCTGCCATATTTTCTCCCGCTGCTTCTCGAGAATGGGGCCGAGCTCGCCCTTGCGGATGCAGTCGTCCACCACGTCTTCCCCGAGCTCGCGCCGGATGGAGGCCATCAGCTGCGCCGCCACCATCGCCCCCAGCGCGTAGGTTGGGAAGTACCCCATGCACCCAATCGACCAGTGAATGTCCTGCAGGCACCCCTCCCGGTCGTTGCCGAGCGTTTCAACCCCCAAGTACGACTTCATCTTCTCGTTCCACGCGGCGGGGACATCCTCAGCGCGCAGCTTTCCCTCAATCAGGCCGCGCTCAATCTCGTAGCGGAGGATAATGTGCATGGTGTAGCACATCTCATCCGAACGGAGACGAATTAAGTCGGGCCTCACACGCCGCATGTGCCTCATCATGTTCTCCAGCGCAAAGGCCGGCTGGTCGCCAAACAGCTCCTTCAGCTTCGGCAGAATAAACTCCAAGAAGGGACGCGAGCGGCCGATCATACGCTCTGAAAAGAGGGATTGTCCCTCATGCACGCCGAGAGAACGAGCGGTGGCAATGGGCTGAGTCGCCATCTCCTTGGGGCCGCAGTTTTGCTCATACTTTGCGTGCCCAGTCTCGTGTACCAGCGCCATGAGGCCCTCCTCAAACTGCGACTCGTTGTACCGCGTGGTGACCCGCACATCCTCCTTTACGTTCCCGCAGAACGGGTGGGTGCTGATGTCCTGGCGACCGGCGTCAAGGTCAAACTTCCACACTTTCATGCAGTAGCGACTGAGCTCGCGCTGAGCCTCGAGGGGGAACGGACCGACAGGCTCCAGCACCTCCGCCTTCTGCTTCTCCTGCACCTCACGAATCAGTGCGGGGAGCCACGACTTCACGTCGTTAAATATATCATCCAGTCGCTGGAGGGGCATGCCAGGCTCGAAGAGGTGGAAGAGCGCCTCATACGGTTGCTTCCCAGAGCTCCCGGCCAGGGCAGCGCCGGTCTCCTGAAACAGCGTCACCAGCTCCTTGAATACAGGCAGCCACTGACTGTAGTCGTTCGCCTCGCGGCTCTTCCGCCAAATCTGCTGGGCTTTGGTCGTTAGCTCCGACTTCTTCTTGACAAGGGCCTCTGGAAGAAGGTTTTCTCGCTCCCACTGAAGACGCATCTCGCGAAGGTTTGCCCGCTGCAGCGATTCCAGCCCTTGCTGGGCTTTTTCTGCTTCCTGAAGCAGGGCGCCCGTCGCGGGGTCGGTGAGGAGTCCGTGAATGTGAAGCTCGAGCTCCGCAACGGCCGCCCCACGAGCTGCAGCGCCGCGCGGCGGCATCAGCACTTGTGTGTCCCAAAACGCCAAGGAACTCAAGTGACGAAAACGATAAATCTTCGTGAAGATCCTTTCCAGGTTCTTGTACGCCTCCATGGTGTCTGCGTGCGTGTGGATGTGTGGATGTGTGTGTGTGTGTACACAAGCGTGCCTGCGAGGAATACGGCTTGTGGACCTTCTCAATTTGCCTCTTCGCTCTTTCTTACGCTTGGGTAAGCGCCCTTCTCGCATGTGCAGTTGCCACAGTAGCGGTGATAAAAGGAGGAGCACACTTCACAGACAGGGACACAGGAGGGGGGAACCCACGCAGGAACGGGAACAGCGACTGAGCGACACACCGTGCCCAGCCGCCACGACGCAAGCGACGACATTTGCCTTTCTCTTCTTCTCCCCTCTCCTCCCATCCACGCACGCCGCCCACTCCCTCTTTTTCCCGCCCTCGCCGTGGAGCACCACCGCCGCCGGGCAGTTAATTATGCCCTGTGGCAAGCGCCATCGCGTCGTCCCTGACTTTCCGCACAAAGGCCGTGCGTTCGGCCGCGTTCCCCAGCCGCTTCGCCGTTTTGGTCAGACTGATGCACAGCAGCAGTGGCCGCTGCTCTCCCTCGGCGCGAATGCCGTGGGCAACGACGCCGGCGACGACGTTCGTGAGGGGGTGGTCCCGCATCCCCAGCAGGCACTCGCACGGCGTGGCGGGCAGCGCGTTGGGGTTCTCCCAGTTGGCGCTCAGCCCCACTTCGCGCGGGTCGTGGCGCAGCACCACCCCGGGCACGCAACTGTCGTCCTCCGTGACGAGAACCCAGACGCAGTCGGAGAAGCACTGCAGCGAGACGTGCACGCGGGACGCCGCGGCGCCGCCGCCGTGGGTGAAGGAGCGCTGGCGGAACGCCACCAGCGGCCCACCCTCCGTGCGCAGCATGGGCCGCAGCTGCGAGGAACCCCACAACGCGACAAGCAGCAACGCAGCGCCGATACGGCGGGACCCACTTGCTTCGCAGGAGGGGGAGGAGGAGGAGGGGAGGGTACACGGAACTCCGAGAAAAAAAAAGAGAAGAGAACAACGACAACAAGCGACAAGCCCACCTGCGCAGACACACGCGAGGAGAGAGAGAGAGAGAGAAAAGGGTAGGGGGGTAGGGGTAACACACACACACACACCGTGAGCATACCTAAAGGTATATATATATATATAATAAATGTGTGTGCGAGGGAGAGAGAGTGGGGCGCGACGCAATGCGGGCTCGCCGCAGGAGACGACGCTGACAGCGCCACGCCGAAGGGAGTAGGGTGAACGGGAGGGTCGTGCGACGAC